ATCCACTGCCTGTGAGCATACGCGTGTGCATCTTTTTATGAGGCAAGTTAGCGAAAAAACACATAAAAAAGAAGTGGTTCATTATATTACAAATAGAAATCACAGACAGACACACTCATGAAAGTGTTCCAAAATGCGACATTAATTTCTTGATAACCTAATACTTACAGGATGGTTATAGAACTGTAATAGGCATCTAGTCTAATAAACCTTGTCAAATGGCTGGAAGGGTATGTGACTTCTGAGCAAGACATAGGCATCTAGTCTAATAAACCTTATCAAATGGCTTGAGGGGGTATGTGAATTCTGAGCAAGACTTTTATACAATGCAAGTCAAAAAGATATAACAAAGAAGTCTCCATTGTTCTCCATCAAAGTAGATATACATGCATAGCAGAATATGAAATCACAACCCAAGCCAATAAGGACCAACAGTGTCATTTACCAAGTGAAGTCTCTGCCTCTGTGACACAAAAGCCATTCTAATGAAACTGGGCATATCTCCTGGTACAATTAAGAACCCAATAAACAAAATTTCGAAGCCGATGTAGACTAAAAAGCTTTGAGTAAAACCTTGAAATCAACAGAAGAGAAAGACGGCTGTAGAAATTGCAATCCCATTTCATCATATGATTATCAAATCACACAACTCTAGCATACCCTTGTGATCAACAGAAGAGAAAGACGGCTGTAGAAATTGCAATCCCATTTCGTCATATGATTATCAAGTCACACAACTCTAGCATACCTTTGTGATCAACAGAAGAGAAAGACGGCTGTAGAAATTGCAATCCCATTTCATCATATGATTATCAAGTCACACAACTCTAGCGTATTTCCTATGGTCAACAGAAGAGAAAGACGGCTGTAGAAATTGCAATCCCATTTCATCATATGATTATCAAGTCACACAACTCTAGCATATCTTTGTGATCTAGAAGTGCATGCATTTGTAAGAAGTCAATAGCTTGTATACAGAGTGGAGGGACAGAACTAGCATAGCTGTTCTCTTATCTCACGTAAATATCATTGCCTGCACTGTTATAAAAACAGCTGTTTGCTGGAGAAAACATAGTCTACAGTACTAACCATAGCCTCCAAAACATGGAAGTGACCTATTAAACAAAAGCTTTTATAGTTTGAGATTTGACAATATGAGGTTGCAAGTTGTTATATAATAACATTTTTTACAATAAAATAGTGATGTTCGATAAGTAACAGATTAATGAGTAGCCAAACAGTTATTATTATTAATTCTGAAGTTGCTTCAAAGTCCTCTGGTGACTCTAAAACCTAAGGGTTTTTCTACCTAAAATATCCAAAACTCATAATATTTATTAGTAAAGAAATGTAAAAGCAAAAAAAAAACTAGTTACCATTTTTGACAGTTTCTTTCAGTTTACCAAGACTAAAACACACACTTGACCGGTTTGGAGTACTGAGAAGTTTGTCCCATTGCTTTTGGGCATCTTTAAGACAAGGTGTGATTTCTGCATAGTCCAGTTTTAATCTTTTGTTAGAGACAGCATTCTGTCGGGCTGTATGAAGTAATATAGTTAAAATATTAGAAATGATAAGACACAGTTATGAACCAATGTATGGTTAGTAGCATGAAATAAACCACAATTTATAATGTTAGTTAATTCACTTAAAACTATTCAACTCTAGCACATCTGAATCAGCGTGTTCCACCTCAGGGGTAAAATTACCCCACAGAATTAAAAAAATTAAAGAAAAACACTTGCAGTCATTCTTCTACATATCATACAAATTGATTACTAGGGATGCACACCCAGATAATCGGCCCCAGCTGGTTATTGGGCTACCTGGTAATACTCAGCTCCAGCAGAGTGCAAAAATTAAAAACAGCCAAAACCAGGTAATTGAAAATGGCACCTAAGATCTAAGCCCTAGTCTTTGTGGCAACTTATGCAGTACTGAAAGTTAAAGTCAATAATTGGTTTAGTTAAAAAAATGTGTTCTGAGCAACAAAGACTGACAGCCTGCTAAAAGTTGGGGATTCAGAGAACAATAGAGGTTAATAACAGGCATGGCTTGAGAAGTGGATTTATGGGGAATGTGGGGGTTTTGAGAACAATAGGGGTTAGGGTTTTAAAAGTTGGGGCTAGGCATTAATTGGAATAATAATTCTAAAACATGTCAATATCACTGTTTCTGCATTTACTTTCACTGGCCTCACTTTTGGAAGTCAAATGAAGCTTGATTTCCCACAATGGCCAAGATATCAATGGGTTATCTCCCGGTCACGATTGACACCTGGTTTCGACCAAAGCTTAGTGGCCAGGTACCCGGACCCAGTATTCGGCCAAATTTTACTACCCGTGCATCCCTACTTTATACATAAAAATATTAAACATTCACAGATTGTGATTTTGAGTGAACCAAATAGCTAATTTTTATAATTTTCCTGAATTTTTTTCTCAGCACAATTTGGACTTGTAGCACACACCCCCCAATGAAGAAATTCACAATAGTTTTGAACAAAATTATGCTACTTTGATGATATAACTTGAATATAAGTGTAGTTTCATCAATTTTTAGCCAATCATTGTTTCTCATCTGTAGTAGTCATGACGTGATGTAACTACCTATACTTCAGCTTCAAGAAATTATGAGCTAGTGATCTTAACATGAAGTAAGAGCCATTCAGCTTTCATTTCAGCACAGATTCCAGTAGAGGTCAGTTTAAATTAATAAACGTGTAATAAGAAAGACAACTCATATGCTGTGTACTATTTGTACAATCTTACAAACACCACTTGGTATCAATTCATGCTCTACGATACTTATACAACAGAATGAAAAACACCTCGTATACTGGGTTCTATTTGTAAAACTATATGAAAAATATTTCATATACTCTAGCTTTTCTAAACAAAATACAGTATAAATCTTAAATTAGTTGCACAAGCTTAGAACACAGTAAACTAATGATCTTAATGAAAATATTGAAGATTAGGTATTATTTGTTTAACTAATTTGTATTAGTTGTACAAGTTTAGAACACTGTAAAATATGGAATCTTAGTGAAGAGCTAGAAGATTAGGTATTACTTATGTTTAACTACAAGACATTGAAAATATTTAAAATTAGGTATTACTTATGTTTAACTACAAGACATTGAAAATATTTAAAATTAGGTATTACTTATGTTTAACTACAAGACACTGAAAATATTTAAAATTAGGTATTACTTATGTTTAACTACAAGACATTGAAAATATTTAAAATTAGGTGATACTTACGTTTAACTACAAGACATTGAAAATATTTAAAATTAGGTGTTACTTATGTTTAACTACAAGACATTGAAAATATTTAAAATTATGTGTTACTTATGTTTAACTACAAGACATTGAAAATATTTAAAATTAGGTGTTACTTATGTTTAACTACAAGACATTGAAAATATTTAAAATTAGGTGTTACTTATGTTTAACTACAAGATAGTGAAAGTCTTGAAGATCAGAAATTGTGTTTAACTACAAGACAGTAAATATCTTGAAGATTTTTTATTACTTGTGTTTAACTACAAGACAGCAGAGATATTAAAGATTAAGTATTATGTGAGTTTAACTACAAGATAGGAAATATATTGAAGATTGGATATTTCTTATGTGTAACTACAAGACAGTAAAGTTATTGATGATTTGGTATTACTTTTGTTTATCTACAAAACAGGAAAGTTTTCGAAGATTTTGTATTACTTGTCTTTAGCTACAAAACAGTTAATATTGGAGATTTGGTAATAATTGTGTTTAACTACAAGATAGTAAAGATCTTGGAGATTTGGTATTACATGCGTTTAACTACAAGACAGTAAAGATACTGAAGATTTGATATTATTTACTTTTAACTACAAGATAGGAAATACATTGAAGATTGGGAATTACCTATGTGTAACTACAAGACTATAAAGTTCTTGACAATTAGGTATTATTTGTGTTTACCTAAAAGGCAGTAAAGTTGTTAAAATTTTGGTATTACTTGTGTTTAACCACAAGACAGTAAAGTTCCAGAAGACTTGGTATTACTTGTGTTTAACTTCAAGACAATAAAGATATTGAATATTTGGTATTACTGGTCTTTAAAAACAACACGGTAAAGATATTGAAGATTTGGTATTACTTGTCTTTAAAAACAACACAGTAAAGATATTGAAGATTTGGTATTACTTGTGTTTGTCTACAATATAGTACAGATATTGTACTTTTGGTATTACTTGTATGTAACTAAAAAACAGTTAAGGTATTGGAGATTTGGTAATAATTCTGTTATACAACAAGGCAGTAAAGATCTTGAAGATTTGGTATTACTTATGTTTAACTACAATATAGTAAAGTTCTTGAAGATTAGATATTAGTTGTGTTGAACTACAAGACAGTAGAAATATTGAGGATTTGGTATTATTTGTGTTAAACTACAAGGTAATAAAAATCTTGAAGATTTGATATTAATTATGTATAACTACAAGATAATGCAGGTCTTGAAGATTAGGAATTAATTGTGTTTAACTACAGAACAGTAAAGATCTTGTATTACTTATGTTTAACTACAGTACAGTAAAGATATTGAAGATTAGGAATTAATTGTGTTTAACTACAGAACAGTAAAGATCTTGTATTACTTATGTTTAACTACAGTACAGTAAAGATATTGAAGATTAGGTATTAATTGTGTTTAACTACAAGTCAGGAAAGATTAGGTATTACTTATGTTTAACTACAAGGCAGAAAAGATCTTGAAGATTTGATATTATTTATCTTTAACTATAATATAGTAAAAATCTTGAAGATTTCGTATTACTTATGTATAACTATAAGATAGTGAAGGTCTTGAAGATTAGGAATTAATTGTGTTTAACTACAGGACACTAAATATCTTGTAAAGATATTGTAGTTTTGGTATTACTTGTTTGTAACTGAAAAACAGTGAAGATATTGAAGATTTTGTATTACTTGTGTTTAACTGCAAGATAGGAAATATACTGAAGACTGGATATTACTTATGTGTAACTACAAGGTAATAAAGAACTTGAAAATTTGGAATTGCTTATGTTTAACTACAGGATAGTAAAGATCTTGACGATTTGGTAATAAAGGTAATAAAGAACTTGAAGGTTTGGCATTATTTATGTTAGTTAAAGTACAATATAGTAAAGATCTTGAAGATTTGGAATTACTTATGTTTAACTACAGTAAAGATATTGAAGATTAGGTATTACTTGTGTGACTATCTTGCACTATGATTAGGATTTGCTACTTTAGGCTTTATATTCAAATATGGAACAAACATTTGATCTAACCTTGCAGTTTTCTATTTTCTTTTTCCATACGGATCAAAATAATCTGCTCCATTATGGCTTTCTTCCATAAGGCACGCAACTCGGATTTGGAACGCTTGCTCAGAGATGCAACTTTTTCAGAAGATCCTGGAGGCTCTAAAGAGTCTTCTGGTTTCAGATGTTCCTCTTGGAATATATATATATATATAACAATAAAACATATTTGATATACTAAAATTTATCTCTGTAGCTATTTCTTGGATGTTAAAGTAATACGCATAACCTATAAAGAGTCTGTCAGTGATAACTACAAAGACCAAATTTATTACAATTTCGTACCAATCATTTGATCTTTACTGCTCTAATTGTAAATAAAACATTTATGGAAGTAATTTAGTTCTGATAACTAGGTGAGGCAAGTTAATCAAAGACAGCCCTACTATAGAATAAGCTTAATGAAAGTATTTTATATCTTCGATGTGATAGATACAGTACTTGTGATATAATTATTTTAACTTACATGTGACATGTACAATATAAATATATGTTTGATCTTGGTGTACGTACCAAGTAAAGCTTTTCTTTCCTGAATCGGAGTCTGAACTCTCTGGAAAATGACTTGTCGCCATGATCCCTGTTTACTTGGTGTCTTTGCACCATCTTCAGCAACAGTTCGATTTCCCACTTTCATGAATCTAAACATTTATCAAAACAATATTTGTAACACTCTGATAATTCTAAAGTCTCTTACCACAACATTAAAAATATGTTTATAATATTGTTAACTTTCACCATCTTCAAGAACTGTTTGATTCCTACTTTCATGAATCTAAATGTTTATCAACATAATATTGTAAGAATGATATATTTCTAAAGTTTGTTAATACAACGATGAAATTATGTTTATAATATCAGTAAATTTTTCAAACTTGCCAACACAGTAGTTGTATTCTAAAGTCTGTTAAGACAACACTAAAATCTTTGCTTTAATATTGTTAACTGACCCAAACATGTCAACAAAGTATTTGTGACACTGATATTTCTAAAGCCTGTTTACACAACATTGAAATCTATGTTTATAACACTGTTAATTGTCCTAAACAGTATTTCTTTTCTAAAATCTGTTAACACAACATTGAAAGTTAACATTTTCATTACCTTAAAACCTATTTGTGATAGATACTCGCATTTGCACACAGAATAACTTAATTTTTTGCATATCAGCCTATGAAATTTGTAAGTTACTAGCCTTGAGCTAACTCCCACCTAAAAATCATGTTTAATGTGAACTGTGCAAGTGTATGATGTCATCATCATGTGACATAATGAATAGGAGTGTGACAAAACCTCTTGGTGCAGTAGCTACCCCTAAACGCTTGTGCTCAAAATAACTTCATTCTTAGATGACAAAAGAAAAAAGTGCACCAGAACCAGGGAGGAAGGGTGGGAAGAGATAAGTATCCATCATAAATACATTTTCAGGTAGAGAAAACGTTAAATTCCGAGATGATAACTCACTTCTACACACAGAATAGCTAGAATTTCACATTAAAATGGTGGAGATACCAGTGTAAACATTAAACCTAGAACAGCTCCCTTCAGAAAACATCCAAAGCTAAAGCCCATGGGGTGTGACACTCAATGGCAGAGGCTCCATAGGGCCACACCCATGGAAGACTGCATTTTGTCTCGACCATGGTATACTCTGTGTCCATAAGGAAAGGCCTTTAGCTCTAAGTGGACAGGAATTGGCAGATATTTTACATGACCAACTGAACACCCACACATAAGTGGTTGGTGAGCCAAGAAATGTATTGTGGTTAGGGCACAATCACACCATACAATGTGTGTCTGATCTCTACTCAACTGAATAGACAGAGATTGAATGAAGAGCCCTCTCTGCTGCAGGAAGACATTTGTTGTTTGAGGGGAGACCTGAATTACATACAGTGCCACAACTGCCCTACTTCCTACCATAAAATGCTGTAAAAAATCAGTGAAAAACTCTCCAAGGTCCAATACCTCAGTGGCTAGGAAATTGTAAATGGTAAGGGTCTCCCATGCTTCACTTTAAGAAAAGGTAGAGTGATTCACATTGGGGAGACCTGGAGAAAAGTCAAAAGCTCAAATCCCCATCAGACATCTGATGGAAAGGTCTTTTACTGGAGACAGTGCAACAGGTGACCACAAAACCCTATTTTTAAAAGCAGCAATCATAGCCAAAGAAGTAGGTAGTCACTTACTTGGTGCTGGCTTTTGCCAGGAAAGAGAAAAAGTGAAAGAGAAGGAGAAGTGGAGAGACAGACTGAGGGTGAGAATCTGAAAACCTATCTGTCAGACAAAAATAGAGACCAAAGGTTGACAAGGACAGACAGATGGGCCCTCACAGGGCCAGACTCAACAGAGTAGTTAACAATGTGTTGATCAACAACCCTGACATGGAGAAGTAGGAGGACAAGAAGGAGGAGGAAGACAGGAAGCTGGAAAGGGAAAAGGAGATGCTGATTCAGCAGACCTAGGAACACGAACAGAAAGATAAGGTTGAGAAAGACCATAAGGAATGATGCCAGATCACCAAATCCAGGGTCTCCTATCCGTTAAGAACATCCCCACAAGACCTCTGGGCAAAGAAATGGAGCCTGACAAAGACCAGAGATAAACATGAGGTAAGTGTATATTAGCTAGAAGAGCATCATATCTCAGCAGCAGAGGAACCAAGTAAACAGGGTTGGAGCAGAAAAAGTACAGGCCAATGGAGCAAAAAGAAGAGAATGAATCTTTTCAGTAAACCCTCTCTTCAGAGCATGACGAAGTGCCTCAGACATATGGTGAGAGGTAACATAGAAGGGTAGTAAGAAAGAAACAAGAGTGCAAAAATTGAGCACTAAATAGAGAAATAGAATTTAAAGGGTCCACCCCCAAGCAGGTAAAAGAGATTCCAAAAAACAGAAATGAAAAATGGCTGCAAGCAAAGACAAAAGGGTCAAGTAGATGAGGAGGATGGGGATGTTAGTATGAATGTGTAGTTGTTGTTTGAAAAATTTGTCAGCATGGACTCTAAAATCATGTGAAAAAGAGAAGATAATGTAGGTTTGAATATGGGTTTCACAGGAATCAAAGAGGAAAGAGAAAAAAAACTTGGGAAATCATGTCAAGGAAGAGGTTAGAAGGTAGAGGATTTTCCTCCACAGATAAAGCTGTGCCTAGAGCACACCTGGTGGGGAAAATAACTGGTCAAAATCATTATCATCATCCTGATCATGTTCAAACCAAATAGATAGAATGTTGTCTGAATGGACAGGAAGAGGAAGCCCAGTGTGCATGAAGGAACCCACAATATTCGATGACGAGGAACCCACTTTGAGACTAATAATGGCTGGAGACGGCTTAAATGGGTAATGAAAAAAAAACTTTAATACAAGTTTAACATGACAGCAAATGTACAACGTTTCGACAAGGTTTTGTCATCATGTCGAAACGTTGTACATTTGCTGTCATGTTAAACTTGTATTAAAGTTTTTTTTTCATTACCCATTTAAGCCGTCTCCAGCCATTATTAGTCTCAAAGTGGGTTCCTCGTCATCGAATATGACATATCTGTGTTGATAGAAACATTACTGTGACTTTGGTTATTTACAGGTGTATTGTTATTATATATTGTTATTATTTACATCCATGATTTTAATAACCTTGTTGGAATTGTT